CTACAAACTTTGTTTTCTTATCCAGGAGCAATGAACCCTTCAGGTTGTTTCATGTAAATTTCTTCTTCTAAATCTCCGTTTAGAAATGCCGTTTTTACATCCATTTCATAGATTTCTAAGTCTCTTAATGCTGCAGTACCTATTAGCATTCTTATTGATGTTATTCTTGTTACCGGAGAATAGGTATCAAAGAAATCTAAACCTTCCTTTTGGCGGAATCCTTGCACCACAAGCCTAGCCTTATATTTGTCTACCGACCCATCTGTTTTCAATTTTGTTTTGAAAATCCATTTGCATCCTAGAGCTTTACACCCTTGCGGTAGATCAGTGATTTCATATGTATTATTTTGCCTAATAGAATCCATCTCACAGTTGACAGCTTCTTCCCAAGAAGGCGCGTCAGGTGTAGACATGGCTTCCTTGTAGGTTCTTGGTTCATTCTCCGTAAGAAATGCAATTAAGAATTCAGAGCTAAATGTTTTCTCTTTACGAGATCTTTTGCTTCGTCTAGGTTCTTCTTCTTCTTCGTCATTTACAGTAGTGCCGGAGCTACTTGCCTCGTTACCAGTGGTGCATAAGTCTCGTTGGTCACGAGTTCGTTTAATGATTTCTCTATCTTTGCATGGAAACACATTTTCATAGAATGAAGCGTTCCTTGACTCCATTATGGTGTTCACATGAATATCTGGTATATCAGACTTATGTACCAGAAATCGATAGGCACTACTATTATGCGCGTAACCGATGAAGATGCAATCTACCGTTTTAGGTCCTATTGTGACCTTTTTTGGAGGTGGTACAAAAACTTTTGTTAGGCACCCCCACACTTTCAAGTATTTATATGAAGGTACGTTACCTTTCTAAAGTTCATACAGAGTTTTTCCCGTTACTTTATGCGGTATTTTGTTCAGGATATAATTTGTGGTAAGCAGCGCTTCCCCCCACATGTTCTGGGCTAACCCAGATTCCTGCAGCATTGCATTCATTATTTCCTTAAGAGTTCGGTTTTTTCGTTCCGCAACTCCGTTGGATTCTGGTGAGTAAGGAGCAATAGTTTGATGAATAATGTCGTGTTCTCTACAGAACGCATTAAACGGTTCATCATATTCTCCTCCTCTATCACTTCTAATTATTTAAATAGTTTTGTCGAGTTGCTTTTCGACTTCCAACTTGTATTCTTTAAATTTTTCCAAAGCCTCATCTTTACTACGTAATAAATATACATAGCAATATCTGGTGCTGTCATCTATAAATGTCACAAAGTATATTTTTGCACCTCTACTTTGCACATATTTTAAATCAAATAAATCTGTGTGAATTAAACCCAAAGGTTCTGTTGTTCTTTCTACACTTGGTGATGGTGTTTTAGTGAGTTTAGCTTGAACACAAACCTCACATTTATCTTTACTTATTATTTGTTTTGGAATTAAATTCATGTTCATTAATCTACTCATAGATTTAAAATTTACATGTCCCAAACGTTCATGCCATAAATTAAATGATTCCACAACATAAGCAAATGATTTTTTCTTATTATTCTTCTTCGAGGTAGAAGCCTCGGTTACATCATTGGTTACATCATTGTTATGAATAACAGACTCAACTGACATCTTGAACAGACCATCACAAACAAACCCCTTTCCCAAGAACATCCCATGCTTGGATAACACCAGCTTATCCGCATCTATCTTAATCGTAAACCCTTGCTTGCTTAGGAGAGATCCCGAAATGAGATTCTTACGCATGTCCGGAATATGGACCACATTTGTCAAGGTGAGCTCACGACCAGAAGTGAGTTTCAGAACAATTTTACCATAACCTTCAATCTTCGACGTTGCCGAATTCCCCATGAAGAGTTGTTCGTTGCTCTTGTTCTTGTTGTAGGTTGAGAACATCGACCTGTCTAAGCAGATATGCCTTGTTGCACCAGTGTCAAACCACCAAGTCTTAGGATGGCTTTCTGCAATGTTAGCCTCGGTGACAACAACACACATATCTGGTTCTGTGAGATTAGCTTCATAATTGACTTCATTCTTCGTTGGAGCCTTTTTGCTACGACACTCAAAAGACTTGTGGCCTGTCTTGCCGCAAGTGTGGCAGTTTCCTTGAAACTTCTGAAATGAGCTCTCCCCAGATTTCTTTTTGAATTTCTGTGAATTCTGAGGTGCTATCTTCCCTTTTCCTTTATCTTGACGCCCTTTGTTTTGCCACTTTCCTGGTTTGTTATGGTTTTTGTGCTCCACAACATTAGCGTTGGGTTCGCTAATCTGAACACCTAAGCCAAATTGTCTTCTGTTTGTTGACTCTATTCTGAGGCGCACAGTCAAGTCTTCAAGACTCATCCACTTTCTCTTCAACTTGAGGTAATTTTTGAAGTTTGTCCAGCCTGGAGGAAGCTTCTCAATCATGCAAGCGACCTGATATGTCTCACACAGTCTCATTCCCTCAGCATGTATCTGGTGGAGGATGTTTTGTACTTCTTCAACTTGCTCCATTAGAGGCATAGAATCCACCATTTTATAGTCTTGAAACTTTGCCACTGCAAACTTTTGAGATCCTGCATCTTCAATGCGGTACTTCTTCTCTAAAGAATCCCATAACTCCTTAGCAGATCCAACATTGCAGTACAGATTGAACAACAGATCAGCAAGGCGACTTTGGATGTATCCTCTGCAAAGGAAATCACCATGTATCCAAGCGTGGACACTCGCAAGCGCTCGAGGATCAGTGTTGTTAGGTGGGAGAAGTGGTTTCTCTTCATGAGTGTACTTTTCCAGCTTCAGTGTTGTTAAGTAAAAGTGCATTTTCTTCTGCCACATCTTGAATGCAGTCCCATCAAACTTGTCGGGAAGAAGTCCTTCTGAACTTGTAGCTGGAATTTGCACCGTTGAAAACTGATCAGGGGCTGCGTCTTGCACATTAGCAGGAATCGCTACTGTCACTGGAGGAAGAGTACCAAACTGCAGTTGTTGAGTATCTTCAACTCCAGCTTCAACATCTTTGTTGATATTCTCAGCCCCTTTGTTGGTGTTCTCTGCCACCTTATCATCAACAATGTTGGCGACATTAGTGTTTTCGCTAGCCATTTTCCTGTAAAAAGAAGACCAGACACCAATCAGAAACGAGTTTGAATACAAGAATCATAATTCAAATATTCACTATATAGACCCGTATGTAGACAAAATGTGAATACGAGATATTCAATAAGTTGACTCTAAAAGTCTCAGTTCAGATATTCAAGTTTGTCACTTCTAAGAATCGCAATTCAAAATAGTGATAATAATATCAAAGAATCTCAATTCAGATACGAATATCACAATACTTAGGAATCTCAATTCAGATTATCACACTTTCAATTCTGATAATCACAGTATCAACAACCAATTCAGAATTTTAATTCAGATAATGAGTAATCTATAAATTGTTAAGAATCGCAATTCAAACAATGAGTGCCAATAACCAATTTAGAATCGCAATTCTGAGCTGTTATTGATCACTCTAGAACCGCAATTCATATGAGTGTCTTAACGTTCGCAAACGTTTAAGCACTTCTCTTCTACACAACACAAAGACAATCACGAGATTGATTCTATTATTGCTTTCCAATCCGTTTGATGTTTATAAAACAACAACGGATTCAAAGAGTTAAGAATGTAAGAACTATAAAAAACAGAACACTACGTACTGGTGATTAAACAGCAACAACAGCAAACAACCGTGTAAAGAAGAGAACAATAACAAGTGGAGGCGAGATTATTGATCTCTGTCCTTAACTCTTTGAATCACCCGCAGTGCGACGGGATTCTGAGAAACAAGAGTCCCAGGATACAACCACTCAATCCATTTTCGCAAGCACTCAAAACACGGACCTATCGAACTTAACACTACGATACTCTCAAATAAAACTTACTTTTTCTAAGAGAAATTGCTGGAAATTTTTCTTAAAGGAATGATTTTGATCAAATGTGTAGAAAAGAAGAGAGGAGCTACCGTCCTTTTATAATAGACCAGCATATCTTCGTTTTGAATTGATTTATCAACAATCAAACCCGAATCTCGGAGATGTGGGCGAAGTGATCTTGCCTTAATCTCGCAACAGAGACCGAGTCCTGCGGAAGACATGGCGAAGAAGAGAAGCAGAAAAGATTTTTCTTTTGATTTCTCCGTCCCACATTATCCCGTATTTCTAACCCGAGTCATAAACATGTTTTGGGCCACCATATTTCCTTTCACATTCATCATTTTTAATGAAGCCCACAGGCCCATTAAAAAACGTTCCAACATGGGTAGACCAAGCACCGCCTCTTCACCAACTAATCTTACCACCACCAAACATCAACCTCAAATCCTGCTTGAAGAAACTGGGCAACGACCAGGGGCGGACGCAGAAAAATTATTTATATGGAGCACACAAAAATATTATAATAAAAAATTACAATTGTAAAATTTTTATTGAAAATTGATACCTTATAATGAATTTCGAACTTTAGGTTTTTAAAAAAATATACTGATAAACAAAACTATTTTCATCGATTTTTAGATATTTTCACATATAAAAAATATATACTCCTTTAAAAAGTATATAAATAATAATAAAATGGCTTTTTGTACAACATTAGACTATAAACTATTTGATAAACATCTAATAAAATTTAATGTCTTTAGTTATTTGTTTTTAAGTATATAACTGTAAAAAAAAGAAATACTAGTTTATTAAAATTTAAAGAAAGAAAAATAACAATATATATATTAAAAATATAAAAGAAATGAAAACGATATAAAATGTAATAAAAAGAATAAAATGATAGAAGAAGTTGGAAAAAGACATGTTTACATGAAAATTAAATAAATAAAGAAAACTTAAAAAATATAATAAAACTTTTTCTGAAAAACTTCAAATGTTATTATCTAAAACCAACTAATCTAACATATAAAATGTAATAGTTGCTCATTAGAAAATCTATGCAATTAGTGTGGGGCACGTGCCCCACCCAATCACCATATGGATCCGCCACTGGCGACGACCTGAGCAGTAGTAGCAACAACGGCAATGGTAACCGCGGAACCGCAAGAGTCAAATTCATGTTAGTAGGGGAAGAAAACTCGAGTAAAGCAACCACCGAGCCGCAATTCGCAACGACCTCGAATAGAAACAATGGACCTTCTTCATTGTTGTCATCATCATCATCTGTTGGAATGGAATTTGTTAGTAAGAAGTTTCAAAACGTTGTTCATCAGCAACAGCTTCCTCCTTCAACATTGCCTCCGATTCTTCCTCTCCCTCCACAATACTCAAAACCCATTAAAACAGTGGACCATGTGGAACCACCGATGCTACCACCTCCAAGAAACTTCTGTGGCCCGAGCCCCGCGGTTGTTTCAGGAGATATCTCTCACCAGATGCTCAACCTATTGTCAAAATGCAACGACGTTGTGGCTAACGTCACGGGCTTGTTGGGCCACGCCGGATCTGTCCAACGTTAATCACATATACATTCGATCAATATAATATAATATGTCTAATTAATACTATGAATCGGGGACATGTACATTCGCATGGACTTTCCCGGTGTTCCGGAAAAAGGCGTGAGGGTTATGGTTGATCTGCGCCGACGCACCAATGGAGCACGAACACGACTCATCTCCTCGGAACTACGGCTCCACTACAGGGCTCGCCTGCAAATGCTGCGAAATCTCCGCCGTCTTCGCCCACATATCCGACGGTGTTCTCAGGCTTCTTCTCACCACGAAACATAGCACTAAGCAAATCCCTTCCTGCATCTGTAATTAAATATTTTCCCCTTTTTTTGTTCTTATTCGGTTATTTAATAATATAGGAGAGATCTGTTTCACTTTTCTGAAAAAAATGAATAAAAATTTAAATTTGTTTTTCTTCACAGCGTTTCTTGCTAGCCCAGATTCCCAAGAAAGTACTCGATCTTTGATTTTATCTTTTCTACAACTCTACAAGTCTTTTTCATCACAAACTTTTGGATATTAATTTACTTAAAATGTTTTTGTTCTTCTCGCAACTTGTGGTCAAAGGTCGCTATGGCACGGGTCCACAAAAATTTCCCCATGGCACGGATCCTCATGGTAATCACATACTTTTCTCGTTCTGCAAGCTTATGTTATGCAAAATCAAATTTTTAATTATTAGTATTGTATAGACATGTTTATATAGTAGTGAGCTTGGTTGTGTAAAAGGGGAAAATTAATTTTGTTGTTGTGTTACTGTATGTGGAAGAGAAGACCCGGCGTTAACGGGTCGGGTATTGCAGCCACACCCATGCGTGAACCAAGGACCGGATATGGCTTATGAGTCGAAGCAGCTCGAAAACGGCAGCCTCTACGTGCGTGTGGACATGCCAGGCGTTCCCAAAGACAGGTTCACTGTCTTATGGTGACTGTGAAGCCCCTGCCGTTAGCCACGACTCTGGTGGTCGGTTCTACTCTGGTGACGTGGCTATGCTAGCCTCTCCTGACGACTAGGGCTGTGCCTACTGAGACAATTAGAAACATTGGCCTACGACCCATATTTTTAATATTTAATGAGAAATTTTTATTTTATATATATATATATATCAATCTATTTTAAAAATCATAATTATTTTTACAATTTTTATTAGACACAATTATGTACTTGCATGTGTGTATGTATTATTGTACGTTACAATTTTCAAAAGCAGTTTTTAAAAATAAATTTAATTTACAAATGAAAATAATAAAATCTATAAATATTAAATAACTAATAGCAATTCTCTGTTTTAAATTGATTGCCAAATTGTTTAAATTAACACTACATCTTGCTGAATATTTTTTATAGTTTGTTCTGTAAAGTTACTTTTTTAAAAGTTGTTCTCTTTTTATTAAATTATTTAATTAAATTATTTTCCAAAATTATTATAAATGTTTTTTAAAAGTCAAATATAAACAATTTATTAAAAAATTAGTATTATAAATAATTTTTGTTTCATATAAATTTGAATGTATTTTTAGTTGCATATGACCTCTATTATAGTAGGCACGGCTCTGCTGACGACATTCCCAGCCATCGGATTAAAACCATCGCCAAGAACGGTGTGATTCGTTTGATCATCCCTCCCTTTTAGTTTGGTGATTAATGATATGAAAAACAATGTTTAGGTTTCTTAATATCATCTTGTGGACTTCTTGATTGTGTCTTTTTTATGTTGTTATCGACTTTGGATGTGTTCCAATTTCCAAAGGGACACGTAACTTATTTTGTCTAATATTTAGGGGAATTTTCAGACTATTAATTATGGATCAATCTTTTAATTGCAAAGTATCTAACAATAAAATAATTAACTATATGAACAATTTTAAAGGGGACCAAACATAATTGTTTTAGAGCAAGGAAGCAATAAAAGAACTCCATGATCAACAAATCCTGACTTAATCATATATCATTTCCATTTTTATATGCTAACATCTTATCTATACACACTTATCGATAAATGACGTCAAAAGGGATTATGAAATTTGAATCTCTGCAACAAGTCTTTCTTTTTTCATCTTTGTGATTTTCACCGCCTGCATGATCTTTACAAATTTACCTTTTGAGTATTCATTTAAATGTATACTCTTCTTCTTCAGTGATGGCAAAAGTTTGATGTGCCTATTCATTATTCAAGTTGAAACCAATAAGGTTTTAGCTACCGAAACAGTTCTCCAACTCAATGTTGAAACCACGTTAATTAATTAATATTAACCACAAAGCTTATAGGGTCAAAATACTCAAACCCTCAAATAATCATGGTTCGAATTTTCTTACTGATATATACTTCTTTTGGCTAAATATTAACCACAAAGCTTCTAAGGATAGGGACCATGTTTTTGGCTAAATAGTTACTATCATTTTCCAGTCTCTATTGAATTGCAAAGGATAATGTTTGAACAACACTCAATTTCATTCCTCAAGAAAAACCTTAGAAGCATGATCACCATATCTAATTATATCTTGGGTGCAATATAGTTCAGCCAAAAACACCAGCTGGGGCATAAACCATTAGATTTATTCGGTAAAAGGAGAGACTCGACGAATCCAATAACATTCGATTTCATTACTCACGAAGAAGTATATACAAAATAACATATTTTATCAGACTCTGTGTGTGCAGTAATTCAACAAAAGACATCATTTGAGGCATAATTCAGATGTTCTAGGTTTATCGACAAAGCGGGAGACTAATCAAATCAAGAAGAACTCTCTAGTTAACTCACACATGAAATCGTAGAAACAACATATCTTTTTTCTTTAGAGACCTTGAGCCCACAGCTCCAACCTGTGTTGCTATGACCTGAAACAAAATTATATTGAGACTCGGAGAAGACAAAACTAAGACTTGAAAATACCAAACGAAGCTAGCTCTTATGCACTGACAAGGATATGATCTACATAGCTACAGAAAGGGGACATCATATTTTAAGCAAAAAAAAAGGATCCTACCAACAAACTCACTACACATCCTTTCCACTTATCTAAACATCTATACACACATATCGATAGATAACAAAATGCTTTTAAAACGTGAAAAAAACTACCTTTGAATCTCTGCATCACAAGTCCTGTTTCATCTTCTTTGTCATCATTGTGATTTAATCACCGCCTGCAGCATATACACAAGTTAATTTGAGCATTCACTTATACGTTTCTTCTCATAACTAAAAATTTAGTGTGCCCAGGAACCAATGGGATTTCAGCTACCAAAACAGTTCTCTATACTTCAAATTAAAATAGTTACAACTTCAGGGTCTAAATGATACAATCAAACTAACGAACAACCATGGTTCTCTATACTTCAAATTATGCTAAAGTCTAGGAACTGGTAGATTATTGATGCATGGATCCTCATATGTCTATATCACCACTCCGCACTATCTACGATGATTCTATCAACACAAAATGAAGTACAAGCATCAAGCAGCGATATGCAGTAAACCAACAGTATGAATCAAGCAACAATTACATGCTAACGTTCACAAAGATAATCAAAGACAATGGAACTGGGAATTACGATATATGTATCCTTTGAAATCAAAATGCTGCAGCGCCATGAAAAAGAAGAAGAAGAAGCTCACTCACCTCCGTGAGAATCCTGGAAGCTTGCTTGAATGAAAAATGATGATACATGCCTCTTTGATGGTCTCGACCGGCTTCCCATCAAATCTCACAACAACATCACCTGGTTTGAATCCAGCTCGATCAGCCGGTGATCCTGAAATCACCTTCAAAACAGTGATCATGCAAATACATTGGTTAATATATCCAAAATGTGACACAATATTAGGATTTTACAACCAACTACTGATGGGCGCACTCACCGTAGGGACAAGAATGCCTTTCTCCACATCAGGAAACAACGGGTCTCGTTCTTTGAGCTGAGCCATGATCATTTTATTGAGCTCGATCATTTTTAACCCAAGCCATGGACGAATAACTCTCCTGCCACAATAGTTTTTTTATATCAAGATGTGATACAAACCAAATCCAATTAAAAGGTATAGAGATTACTAACATACCCGCTCTTTTTGAAGTGCTTGGTGATCTTGGAGACCGAGTCAATTGGCACAGAAAATTCTAGCCCATCTGCAGCTAAGACTTTCATGATGTTAACACCAATCACTTCTCCATCCAAATTCACAAGAGGCCCACCAGAGTTTCCCTGACACACAAACATCACAATGATAAGAAAACCAAAAGGATCTACAAGTCAAAGTTTTCAATCCACAGCGTAAGAAAGATGTGAGTTACAGCATTGATCGCGCAGTCTGTTTGGAGATATTCTCTGCGTGTGCCTCCTAAACCCAAATCACTGCTTTTGCGATCAACACAACTGACACACACACAAAAAGGAAGCAAAAACCAGAAAAAAAAATCAAGCAATTGTGAATATAACAAACTTACTAAATAACAAAAATTGTAGCTTTACATGTGTTTCTTTACCTGACAATGCCAGCAGTTATTGTGTTCTGGAGAGAAAGAGGACAGCCCACAACTATTACCCAGTCCCCTGGACGAAGCTTACTCGAGAAACCAAGCTTAGCAGTTGGCAATGGAGTCTTTGACTTTATCTTCACTAATGCTATGTCTGATTGCAAATCAGCGTTCACCACCACACCTTCAAACGTCCTACCATCTTGCAAGGTCACATCAACCTATATAATTCATTCAGCAACTCTAAAACTTCATTAAACATATTCCATCAAGCCAAAATCATTACAAGGACCTAATCTTATCAGATATAACCTCAGTTTACTAAGCTCCGATAATTCATACCGGAAACACATGAGTTTTGATCATCTTTTAGACTTACCCTCCCTTTAGATGATTGACGAAGGTTCTGAAAATCAACTACAACATGAGCACAAGTCAATATCGTACCATCAGCATCAATGATTGTTCCAGAACCGATATGGTCTTTATGTATTGTTAGGATTCAGTGGCTCTAAACGTCACCTTACTAGAGCATAAACCATTCAGACCAAGATTGAAGAAGCTTGATGTGTCAAAACGTGAGACTAAAAAACAGAGAAGATGCAGAAATTGACAGAAAACAGAGTATGAGAGAAAGGAGAGAAGAAGAAGGGAGAAGGGAGCACACACAAACATTTAACGAGTTCACGCCCAAAATGGGTCGCTACATCTTGCCGAGACTAAGCTCGGAATCCACTAGATTCAATACAGTGATTACAACAAGAAGTTACAAGTGATCCGCCTAATACCCTTCACTAGTACTTAGACTCAGTCTGTACCACTTCTATTGCTAGAGAGACAAACCTTGAACAAAGCTTATATTAAGTCTGTTTTCTCTCAACTATCACTCTCGGCTACATTGTGCCTCTGCTCTCTTCCCTCCTTCACTCTCTCACGTTTACAAAACATGTTATATATGAGGAGACATCTTCAAACCTAATTCACAAGAAGACAAATGCAAAAGGCTCCTCTTTGTGGTCCCAAAATCTTGACTCAACCCATCTTTTAACTCACCATATTAACCAGAGTTATATCTTGGGTTACTTTTGATCTTGAGTTGCTTGTTCAGCAAGTTCTCATCTTCACAAATCTCCACCTGAGAATATGATGATCAAGCTAAACAATCTTCACACACTTGAGAGAGAAAGTACCTTCTTCTAGTTCCTGGATTCCAGCCTTGGATCCTGAGTATGATTACTTAGTCTTGACACTAAGCAGATCAAACACTGTAAATCTGCTCTGTCCTTGCTGTATTTAAAATTACTTTCAATGCACTTCAGCTGTGACTACTCACACTGCTGAACCTGAGCCTTAATCACATCTTTAGTTCACTAGAGTTGTGAAAACCAGCTCCAAAACAAACGTGTATTGATCTCAACTCCTCAGCGATCACCTTCTGATGCATTCAGCACTTGAATATGTGATATAACTGCCCATCAAACCCGCTTAACAAGTAAGAACGATCTGCAACTTGTTAAACCCAACATAAACTCCATAAGCTTCACCACTTATGACTTCTCCAATCACACAATACCTTCTATAGCTTCTGTTTGTGCCATAGATCTGTTACAGTGAATGAAAAACGATTTCCCATCTGCAAAACTTGATTCCCTTGCTAGCTTCTAGAATTTCCTTATGCGCATTGAGATCTGAAACCCTTTGAATTCATTTGAATCAAATGCAGAAAACAGAACCAACTTTGTTTCATAACCTAAAACCCTTTTGATTCAACCTTGTAAACAATCTCCACAGCAGCTTATACCATTGTAGAAACCACCTTACAATAACCTGTTTCAACAACCCAGATTCCAGAGCAGAACACTTGCTCAACCATCTTGTTAAAACAGAACAATCACCGGCAGACTTTTAACCACTACCAGCAAGCTTTTAAAACTGTCTCACATCAACAAAACCTTGTGATGTTCCAGAGACACGACTTTACAGCAGCTTGTACATCACCCTTTGATGTCTCCTTGAGTTGTAACACCAACCTGCAGCACATTTACTTGTATGCAGACTCCACCAAAACGAATTTGGTCTTGCATCCTTAAGAATCTCTGATTTAAAATCAGAAATGCTTCCACATTCATCAATTCTCCTTTCACATGCCTCTGAAATTTGATGAATATTACTTTGCTGAATTGCAAGTGACGCCCCTGAGTAGATACTTATGTAGTCTCCTCTTGATGCAACAAAACAACTTTTAACTCCTTAGTTGCTTTCTTTAAAATGCAGTCTGATTTCCTGCAGTTGCTAACACCAGACTTGAGATGAGTTGTTTATCAAACTAGATACACAACACTTTCATATTATTGAAGTGAATAGCCTTGAGACCACTTCTGCATCTTCTGCACTTGTCTCTTTCAGTTTCTCTTGTAGAGTCTCCACTGAAATCACTTCCATATCTTCATCTCAACTCACACCTTCGTGTCTTCTCTAAAAAATATCAGAAAAACCTGCAACCATTTCTCAGAAAACCTGCAATTCAATCTTGAGTGCCTTTACCAACAACCAGCTTCAAACAAAATCTGTAGACTTCCTTTTAACCTTCAGATAGTACCCTTGTTTAAGCATTATACTTGTTGACACTCATCTGTTCATGGCTTGCTTTCTTCTTAGTACCCAGAACTCTCATGAATCTGTTACAACAGTGATTTATGCAGCCTTTTAACTCTCTTCCATTTGCACTAAACCCCTGAGACAACCTCCACAACATAGCTCCACCAGGAATAGAAAAAATACCCTTTTTGGTATGCATTGCTCTTCTTGTAGCAACAATACTCCACCTGGAACGACAGCCACTTGGATGTTCTCCGTCTCTCTAAGCTCAGCTTCACACATTTGAGTTAAAAAACCACTCTTCATTGTAAATTTGATCCATTACCACGTTCTTATGTATCACAATGAGTTACCATGACTTCTTGCTTGAGAAAATGTGTCAAAACGTGGCACACTTTATTCTTCCTTCCTGCAGCCACTCTCACTGATCCATTTGTACCTGAAGAACCACCAAGAATCTTTCTGTTTATCAGCAGTCTTATCTTCTCTTTACTTGGAGCATTCTTCTTGGTATAATAATGCTACAACTTCAGCTGATACACCACCAAACCGATCTTCAATTCCCGAGACCACCAAATCTTATAATCTACTTTAGACCATCAGACTCTTCCTTAACGCTTGAGAATCTGATTTAGTAGAAGAATTTCTCTGAGAAAGTATTGCTCCACCTGAGACAAGAACTCTTTGTTCTCACAGATTCACTCCAGCAGAATTTCCATGTGTTACACATAACACAAATCTGCACAAATCTGTAGAAACATGAATCTTTGCTACTGCCATCTTGTCAAGAGCTTACACTTCTTGAAACAAGACTTCAAACTCCTTTCATCTCACTCAAACTCATACTAGTTGAGTGTTTCTCCTTCCGTTTCCACAGAACATTTTCAGACAGCAATAAGAGCACAAACTTCATTGCATTTCCTCTGAAAATAGCAATCTTGTAGCTTCATGTTCTCTCTGATTGTCTAACAACTGCAGACTCTCAAAAAATACCCAGAACTGATAGCTTACACACAGAGACAAACCTGCAGCAAAAACCCCTTTCAAAACCCAACCAAAAGCCACTGAAGATTTCAGAACCTTTAACCTGTCTTCAACAGATTATCTTGCTTGCTTCATAACCATTCTGCAACACCCTTTAAACTGAACCCAGAAACCTTTATTGATATTCAAAACAGCCATAAACATATATAAGATTCAAGGTTCTAAGGCGTCCCTTACTCCCATGAACTTATGAATAACTGAGGCTTGAATAACAATCTTTGAACACCACTTGCATCTGATTTTACCACCCTGATTGAACCCCAAAACACAGCATGAAACCCCATCACTGAATCTTGACCAATCCATTGCAAAACCAGTACAACTCTTTGTGTTCCAACAAGCTTTCATTTCCATTTTAAAAATATGCAGAATTGAGCAAACCTGAAACTTCAATACAGAGCATCACAAACACCTTGTGACTGCAGCGGAATCTCCCATAGCTTGAGTCTTGAAGTTGATGTTGAGATCCTGATATCCAACTTGAGCCATTGAACTTGAACTCTTGCTTTCAGAATCCTAAACCAGCTGATACTTTTGAAAGACCTTCAGCTAACACCAATCTTTGATTTGTTTCTTCAGCAATGATCAAGAACACCATCTTCAATCACATGCTTCTGGCTTATGTCTCTGAATTTCCTTCTTGTACTTGCAACACTTAAACTTGTGAGTAACCAGATTTCTCTCTCACTATGTTGCAGATTCTTGTATCTTAGAAGCACCTGATTTCATAAATCCATGAAACCACTTCATTTGATTCCAACTTGATCTGTGCATCTCTCCTCAAGATACAGCATGTTTACATCTAACCCTCACACTCACTTAGACACCATAACTGAGCTAGAAATGTTTTTTCAACCCTCTAAGCATCTTAATAACCTTCTGCCAAAGCTTTCTCCTTTTGCTTCTTCTGTTGCTCTCTGTTACTAACTCTGTCACTGAGACAGAAAACCTGCAACTGGAACAGAAAACCTGCAACTGCTTTGCTCTTCTTGACCTTTGAGATGCTGAGAACGAGATGACTCATGCTTCACCAGGATGATTTTTACAACTCCTTCCTCTCACGTGATATTCACCAAGAGATACCTTGGCTTTCATCCTGAGACACTGATGTCTCCACATCTTCCTGAAAACCTGAGAAAACTCAATGATGCTCCACCAAGAAAGAGCCTTACAACATCTTCCTCTCTCTTGCACCATTTACCAAGAGCTATTGATTTGTTGTGCCACCAGAGACGTTGCTGTCTCTACACAACTAAGCTCTTCAAGAAAAGGAATGTGGATTCTTAAACTAAAAGCCTTACTGCTCTAACCTTCCAAAGATCCAACCTTTCTTCACTTTTCTTCAGTCTTCTTCTTTCTCTAGACCATTTCTCTCTTAGATCTGAGTCTACCTTGACTCTCTCTTCTTCTGAACTCCTGGATCTGAGACTTCACTTCCTGGATCTGAGACTTCACTTCCTGAAAGCTCAGTCACCCTTAGAGCTTCACTGCCACGAGTTCTTCTTCCAAGAAACACAGCCTCCTTGACCAACAAACTTTTCCTCTTCAATACTTGCCAATGACCTGATTCTTGGCTTGAGAGAACCAGAAAAAACACAGAACCAGGGCTCTGATACCAATCTGTTAGGATTCACTGGCTCTAAACGTCACCTTACTAGAGCATAAACCATTCAGACCAAGATTGAAGAAGCTTGATGTGTCAAAACGTGAGACTAAAAAACAGAGAAGATGCAGAAATTGACAGAAAACAGAGTATGGAGAAAGGAGAGAAGAAGAAGGGAGAAGGGAGCACACACAAACATTTAACGAGTTCACGCCCAAAATGGGTCGCTACATCTCGCCGAGACTAAGCTCGGAATCCACTAGATTCAATACAGTGATTACAACAAGAAGTTACAAGTGATCCGCCTAATACCCTTCACTAGTACTTAGACTCACTCTGTACTACTTCTATTGCTAGAGAGACAAACCTTGAACAAAGCTTATACTAAGTCTGTTTTCTCTCAACTATCACTCTCGGCTACATTGTGCCTCTGCTCTCTTCCCTCCTTCACTCTCTCACGTTTACAAAACATGTTATATATGAGGAGACATCCTCAAACCTAATTCACAAGAAGACAAACGCAAAAGGCTCCTCTTTGTGGTCCCAAAATCTTGACTCAACCCATCTTTTAACTCACCATATTAACCAGAGTTATATCTTGGGTTACTTTTGATCTTGAGTTGCTTGTTCAGCAAGTTCTCATCTTCACATGTATAATAATAAACAGAAGATATGGATCTTACACAAAGGCATGTCAATCAACCCACACACCACCGCAGCTCTAGTCAGAATCACCAAACTATATTCAGAAGAGCAATTAGTTAAATAAGTAAAAAAGCGAGTAAACATATCAAAGCTTCAAACCAAACCAAAGTAACAATGCGAGATAGCCGACATGCAAAATTATATAGAAGAAATCCTAAACATAAATTTCAATTAAAAAAACAATGCCAAAAATCTGGAAGTGTGCAAAGTATTTATAGCTAGTAAAATTTAGGGTTGCATCTTTCTCTAGGGTTTATATATACTGTTGGCCAAACTAAAATCATAAAAAATCCATAAATTTTAAAAAAACCGGTTAGAAATTTATATAAACTAACCGAAAACGAATTTACATAAACTAATCGGTTTAGGTTTTTTTCCACGAAGGGCAGAAGACACTAACCCCTCTAAGAGAAGCTGTGGTGCGTTTCTCACTTCGTAAATCATATATATAATGAGCAAGTTATCTCTCTATCTAAGATGTCCACATCATCATAATTTTTATTTTAAAATGGGCTTTTAAATATTTTGGGTTTTGTTTTTAAGTTTTTATATTTTGGGTATTTATTTTTGAGCTTTTAATATGATTAATTTTTTTTAAAAATAATTATTTTACAAATCATAAAAATTACAAATTCTTCATTTGTGAAAAAGAGTTTGGAAGGATTTATTCGAAAAACTTACAGAAAATAATTATCAAACTTTATAAAAAAACCTTAGAAAGATTTATATATAAAGCTAAAGTAAAATCATATATATTAAACAAATATTATTTTATAAACTATAAAAACTACAAATTCTCTTTGAAATAAAAAAATTCAAAAAGTTATTTCGAATATAAACAAACATCAGTTGAAAAAAGAGTTGGAAAATGAACAATTACGAAATATGACAGAAGAACTTGCTGAGAATAGTTATCAAACTTATTTAAAAATGCTCCAAAATATTAATGCTTAAAACTATAGTAAAATCATTCATATCCACTTTATTGTATAAAATGAATGAAACTTTTTCATAAATAAAGAAAAATAAAGTGTGTAATTATACAGCATATAAATGAATTTGATTTATACGAAGGAGGAAAAAAATGGCAAATACTTATCAACCATTTTTCTTAATGATGATAATATAAAATTGATATGCGATCACATTACTCATCAACCGGACAATATATGAGTTTTAATTTAAAATATATAAATAAACTAAAACAAGATTATTGATTATACTTTTTAAGATAGTCATGTTTACATTCACATGATATGAAAATAGACAAAGATATTCTCACACATTCACAAATATAGTCAGGTAGCCATCATTGAAAAAAAAACGCCTCAAATCAATTAAAATCAACAATTTATCAACTATGCATAATTTTTTGATATAAAAACTCATCAAACATATATAGTATTTGAACAAATCTTTTGCTCTGTCTAGCCAACTCTAACTAAAATTCTCCTCATTTAGAGTTATAATCGATCACAAAACTGAATGAGATGGAAGCTTGCATGAAATAAGAGAAAAAATCAGTAGATTGCAATCAGAATAGCGAGACTAAGAGCTATAAGAAAAAGGGAAAAAATAAAGGATTAATTGTGTTTGAAAATGAGGTAGATTCTATAAAAAATTAAAGGAACATTTAGTTTAGAGTGGAGAAAGATTAATAATGATTTCATTTTGTTGACCTATGAAAAGAAAATGTAGAAAAAGATGAGAAATCAATTGAATACAGATAAACAATAAGAATATAACAATTAATACATGATAATCTATATTAGAAAAATAATTTTACAATATAAATATATATTAGGACAACAAAAATATTTTAAAAATAAAAAACAAATATAATATACAATAATATAAATTTAATATAATATATATATATAAATTTTTAATGCAAAGCGCTGCACAAATTTAGTAATATATTAGATTCAAGGTTTTTCATGTAAGCCGAAAACTAATCGGATTCAAGTTTAAATAGGCTTCTTCCGAATAAGTTTAGCCCAAAAAACCGATTTTTTTTTAACTTTTATACCAAAAACCCAAATTGACATCCCTAATTAGCCAGCATTTTAAACTTTTTCGGCAATCTCAAGATCAATTAAATGCTTGTCCATATTCGAAAAACAAACAAAGCTTTTTGAAAACACCTAAAAAAATCGATTCACCTTCTTCTTCTTCGGCTCGCTTCACCATCACTCTTCCTTCTGCAACTTTGCCTCTAACTTTCTCTCTTTTTCTTCGTCTGCTTCTTCCACTTTTGTTTTTCTGATTTTAGCCAATGGATATTCGCGTGAAGCAAGAGAATCTACCAAATCCCACTACCCTGCCGGCTTGGAAACCGCCCGGGAATGGAAACAAAACCGATGTTATCGATCTCTGCAGTAGCGATGAAGAAGACGGCTCCGCGTTCGTTGTAAACCCCGACGAAATCGCCGACGACGAAACCGCTGATTTTTCTACCCATGATTCTAGAACCTTCTCCGTCGTCGGTGAGAAGAGAGCAAGAACTGATTCTCAGGATTCTCCGGCGAAGAGGCTAGCGGTTTTGATTGCAAAGGAAGAGGAAAGGTTTGGGCAATCGATTCCTCAACGGGAACAAGCGATTGTGGCTTTTCCGGCGACACCTTGTACCTTCGTGGCGCCGCCTAATTCGTCAGCGTCTTGCAAGCAATTCTGGAAAGCAGGGGATTACGAAGGAACATCTGGTGGTGATTGGGAAGTCTCTGCAGGTAATTTCCAATGGCAAACTTGTGACTTCTCTATTGCTTGGATTTTTCAGAGAAATAGTTGAGAATGTTAATACGATTGAGAACAAAACCCTAATGGTTTCAGGTGGATTCGATCATGTAAGAGTCCATCCTAAGTTCTTGCATTCTAATGCAACAAGTCACAAATGGGCTCTTGGAGGTACGTTTCTGAATGAAGTTTTTGAATAAAAAAAATTTGCGGCTATGAAGAGATGTGAGATTTATCAGATTAAGTTTGATTTCGTGTGTTTTTTATATCTTGCAGCTTTTGCAGAGCTTTTGGACAATGCTTTAGATGAGGTGGGATGTTTTGTTTCTTTTTTTAGAAGTATTACAATGATTTAAAGTGCATTTTGTATTTTCTGGTTGGTAATAATGGATTTTTTTCTCTATTAGGTTCACAGTGGAGCTACATATGTGAATGTAGACATGCTCCAGAATAGGAAAGATGGAAGCAAGATGGTCTTGGTTGAAGGTAGATAGTTGTTTCAGTAGTACTCTAGAAGATTTTTTTCATTATGTTGTATTAAGTTTTGATGATTTTTCATCCTTATGTTTGAATGCAGACAATGGTGGTGGGATGAATCCTGAAAAGATGCGACACTGCATGTCTCTTGGATACTCTGCCAAGAGCAAACTTGCTAACACCATTGGACAGTGTAACAACTCTTCTTCCTGCAAGATATATTCCAAATGTTTACATCAAGATTCTTAACTAGTAATATGTATATTGTAGATGGCAATGGATTCAAGACTAGTACAATGAGACTAGGAGCTGATGTTATTGTATTCTCACGTTGCTGTGGAAAAAACGGAGATGGGTTCGTTATCTATTTACGTTCTATGTTATTCCTTTCAGCGATCTTGCCTTTGATGATTTTGTTTAAAAATATCAATATTATATTTTCCTGATCATAGTTTTGTTTACTTGATGTTGCTTGTAGCGTTACGCAGACCATTGGGCTGCTATCGTATACATTCCTGAAGAGCACTGGGAAAGAGGACATTGTTGTACCCATGGTAATCCACTTTAATTTAACTTTATAGCGTTGTTAGGGGAAACGTCATTGTTTGCGGATTTGTTTATCTATTAAGCTAACATTATCCTAGATTTTCTGGAATTTGACGTCAGGATTAGTAATGTATTTGTGCTTTACAGATTTCATATAATTAGTCATCAAACTCCTGGAACCTATGTCTGTTTCAGAGTTAACTGTTTGTACACATATCTCTAATTCTATTGAAATAGCTTCATCTTCAGAATATATGTTTTTTGAGTTTAGCAGGCTCTTGTAGCGAGTTTATCTCTTATAATCCTCTTTTTTGATGATTTAAATGAAAGCTTGACTACGAAAGAAGAGGTTCAGAATGGAGTCCAATAATACGGTCTTCGGGTAGTGACTGGCTTAAGAACGTGGAAACAGTAGTTCAATGGTCGCCATTCTCTACTGAAGAAGATCTTCTTTCCCAGGTAAAACTCTTTCCTTAGTTCCAATAGAGATTTATTACGGTGATTCTTTCAAATTATTCGGTAGCTATGTTTGATTTGGATTCTCAAACGCTACGACCTCTTTACTATTAATATTTGGAGAATATTTCCACTAATCTATTGCTTTGGCTGTTGTAGTTTAATCTAATGAAGGATCATGGCACAAGGATAATCATATATAATCTCTGGGAAGATGACGAAGGAATGCTAGAGCTTGATTTTGACACTGATCCATTTGTAAGCGTCTTGTACTGCTGAATATACATAGATTGTGATCGGGTACGACGCAAAAGCATCTGTATTCATATTCTTGACATATGGTATGTTGCAGGATATCCAACTTAGAGGGGTCAATCGGGATGAGAAAAGTATCGAATCGGCTGCTAAATACCCTAACTCTAGACACTTCCTGACATACAAGCACTCACTCAGGGTATTAATATTTTTTCCATCTTTCTTTAATTATGGCAGTCACGCAAGTTAGAGATGTTTATTTTCTAAGCTAGTTTGGTCTAGTCTCCTGTTACTATCTCTGAGAATGGTTCTTACAAGACTGAAACAGGGGGATCCTGTTAAAAGTTGGCTGCATGCGTTTTTGTTCTACAAAATTGATTTGTTTTATTTTGGCTTGTCCCCAGAGTTATGTATCTATTCTATACCTAAGAGTTCCACCTCAGTTCCGTATCATTCTCCGAGGAAAAGATGTTGAGCATCACAGCATTGTGAATGACATGATGCAGACAGAAAGAATTAGTTATCGACCAAAAGAGGGTGGCGAAGGACTCTCTAATTGCTCAAATGTATATCTTTTCATTTCTTAGTTATACTCAAGACTTTCTTCCTGTCATTTTTATAACTAATATCTGTTTGTGTGGAATATTTTCAGCAGATGTCTGCTGTTGTGACCATTGGATTTGTCAAGGATGCAATACATCATATTGATGTTCAGGGCTTCAATGTTTACCACAAAAATCGCCTTATCAAGGTTCCTGTTTCTTTTAGCTTATAATGTCCCTGTTGTTGACACAAAAAAAGCTTATATTGTCTTTGTTCCTGTCAGCCTTAAAATATCACGAAAAGAAAAGTAATACTCTGCCTTCGTTTATTAAAATTTCCACTTGATTTGTTAGCCATTTTGGAGGATATGGAATGCAGCAGGAAGTGGTGGCCGTGGTGTCATAGGTATTGTTTTTAACTGGAAGGTCCTAATATTTGATCAGCCTTTTTAATGAGAAGAAGTCTAATGCTAATTTTATTCCGTTACTAAGGCGTCTTGGAAGCTAATTTCGTTGAGCCTGCTCATGATAAGCAAGGGTTTGAGCGTACAACAGTTTTGTCGAGACTCCAGCAACGGCTAGTTCAAATGCAGAAGACTTACTGGTCTGATGCTCTTCTTGTGCTTTTAAACTCACGGAGAGGATTCTGAACTCTTTGGGCTTATGTTTTCGTTCCTGTTTTTACTCAGGAGATCTAAGAGTCACATAATCGGATATAACCCAAAACAAGGCAAGAAGTCAGTAGCAGAGGATTCTGAAGACAGAGGTACAATACAACATGTTTTTACTGGTTTTAGCATTGGAAAATTAAACATTTTACTAAGCAATCTTTTGGAAATGTAGAATCATCACCGGAATATGATCCAAAAGGATCAGCCTCATCCAGGAAAAGAACAGCTGCTTCGAGCTTCAAAACTCCAGCTGCAGCTTCGGGGAAATTCGACTCGAGATCAAATGTGAATCGAGGAGGAAAAGGATCTGTTAAAGATTCGATAGGGAGTGGTTATGTATCATCTGAGAAAGGTGGTCAAATTGAAAACACCTCTTCCAAATCTAACAAAGCAAAGCCTCAAGGAGAGATTATCAACAGTGATGATGACTCTGAATATGATTCTTCTGTTAAAAGAAACGTCACTGAGCTTCCCAAGAAGGTCCATGCTCTTTATTTTCTCTCCCATATCGATACGCTTTCTCTGGTTTATAGGATTGAGAACATAACCTTTTTGTACTTCCTTCTCACAGATTTCTGAACTACCAAACCCTTGTTCTGGTTCATGTACACTCACTCAATTGGAACAAGAGAATGAAGAGTTGAAAGAAAGGTTTGTTTACCTTGCGTACGATTTGCCGATACGATTCATGATTCTCACTCGTGTGAACACTCTGTTTTTTGTTGTTTCTTCTCTCAGTCTAAGTAAGAAAGAAGATGTATTCGTGTTATTGAAAAACGAGCTACGACGTGAGAAAGAGCTACGCAAGAGACTTGAAGCGGAGGTAAGTTTTCTACTTTCTGGTATTTACCATGTCTTAACCTGCAAACCTATAAACAAAACTCACGAATGGTTTCCTCAGGTTCAAACGTTAAAGGACAAGTTAGATGAAGAGAAGAAAGAGCAAGACAGTTTAATCGCCATATTCTCAGAAGAGGGAGAGAGACGAGACAAGGAGGAAGAACATCTCAGAAATAAGCTTGAGGTTCTCATCTGTTTTTTGAAAACCTTATTTCTCTACATTGTTTTCTCGGATTCATGAAAATGAGAGTTAAATAACCTTTGTGGTTGCAGGAAGCGTCAAACACGATCCAAGAGTTGTTAGTTGAAAAATCCAGAGGGGGATGAAAGGATGTAGCTGCATTGAGGATAGTGTTGACTCATTTAGGGTTTTTTTTTTTTGTGTGGTGACACTCTGTTGTCTCTGACCCAACAACAGTGGAGTTAGTAGAGAAGTAGGATATTGCATTAGGGTGAGGTTTTTGGATTTGAAACAATTAGATTTGGTTCAAGCATTTTCAATAAACAAAACAGTCACAAAGATCGGTTTTTGCAGTCAATATAAGTACATCCACAAGTTTTTGTAGAGTAAATTATCACCAAATTTATTTTTACAAGTCGTCTTACAATAGAAGGAAGTGGGAAATTTGAAACTTGAATTGAAATAACAATCTGAACCAGAAAGAGCTGTTTTATTTCACGAGGTCATTGCATCTTTTGATTCATCGATGAAACTACTAAAATCCTACCATTTATTATTCCAAAGGATAAGAAAGAAATTAACTGGATGAAGTTTCGGTAGAGTAATTATAAAACTTGAGATAACTTTTTTTCTAGATATATTTTTAATATGCTAGTTTTAAATAATAAAATTTTTTTTTTAAAAAGCGTTAACACGTAAGAATTCAATCAATATTATAAATAGTAAAAGTCCCTGATGCAGCAAACAAATCCATATTGAAATCGATTTTTTTTTTAATATTTTCAAAATCCAAGTTTTAGAAATATAAAATATTTTATAACCTGTAAAAAAGAAATGAGAAAAAAAATTGAAATACCAAATCAAATCATCCTTAAAATAAAAATAAACTAAAATTTAGAATGTTAATATAACAATTATTTATTTATTTTGATTCTTTTATTTCTATTTTATTATTTAGCTTGTATTTAAATTTTTTTAAAATTATACAATAGCCAAATCGAATCTCTCTGCCCACAAAAGAAAAAAAAAACTAATTTCTCCCAGTAAACTAGTCAGTTACATGTTCAAATTTATCTCAAAAAGGATTTGAATCTAGGACTAAAAAAACCAATTATCTTGTACTATCATTAGACTACCACCACTTGTTAATTTTAACACATGTTGATCGATCCACTTTTCTTGTGATGATCATGTGGCTTTGGATTGAGCATGATGCATGGAGTGTTGGTTGAGTTTTGTTCATCGATCTTCATGACTTGAAGTTTAGATTTAGATCGACCTCCAGAACCAGTTTTCATGAAAATTGGCTTATCTATCGAACTATTTCATTCCACTTCCATATGAAAACTAACATATGTGGCTATCGTATTTTTAAATTTTTTGTACAATCCTTTCAACGGTATATGATATACCTCTAACGAATACTACAAAGTTCTGATCATGGACTTAATCTTTCTTTAGGTATAATTTAGATCTCTTTGCATCTTTCTTAACAATCCTCCTTTAAACTTAAACTCCAGAAATACATGAAACTACCTTTTAGGCCATCAAATTTTACATAAACAAATTGATAAATGTATAACAACCATATAAAAACCAAATAACAAATGAGAGTGACTTATATTTTTTCTATTTAAAGTTGTTTTTCTGTCACGACGACGGCAAATTTTCTTATTGGAGATATGAATGAAAGCTGAAGCATGTCCCCCATTACACTCTCAAAGGAAAGCATTTATCATTACCATGTCATGGATTCATAAAGTTTGGGACTTTAGTTAACAAGTTTGGGCTTTTAGTTAACCTTCTTTCATAAAAGTTTGGGGTTTTTACATTACCATGTCATGGATTCATTAAGTTTGGGCTTTTAGTTAACTTTCTTTCATAAGTTTAGGCTTTTAGTTAACCTTCTTTTATGAAAGTTTAGGCTTTTTAGTTTAAAATTGTAACTTATTTCCAAACTAGTATTTTGGTCCGCGCTATGCACATGCATCGACATTTAAATAATAAAATATTATAAAATAGTTATATAAAAATATAATTAGAGAATTATCGAATAGTAGCGAGGAAGGAAATATATAGTGATCGAAAATATGTATCTATATACTAATTCTAATAGTCATATAGGGAAAATGGCTTATTCATGCCTAAACTAATACTAACTGTGAATATCTATACCTATACTTTGGCATCATGCTAAAACATGCCTCAACTTTAATCTAAACTTACACTATGTTTACTCATTCTTCTAGTGAGATTCAAGAAAATATAAAACAAACAGAAATATGAATCAGACAATATTGAAGTTTAATCCTCATGACATTAATACTTAATACCAAAATATCAAAAGTGATTGAAATCCAGAACAAAGCCAACGAACAGCAACACAATAAAGTTAAAAGAAACAACAATACAAATTAATAACATCAACATCAAACTTGAATTTTCACCACTATTCACTGCTTCATAACCTGTTATTTAAGAAAAAGGAAAAAAATAAAAATATAATATTAATAATAAATCTAAAAAGTAGCCACGTAAAAGAAAAAGAAAGAAAAAAGTTAGGCTAATATTTTTTGAAAATTGATGAATATTTTAAATTAAAATTTTTTTTTTAAAAAAAAGTGAAAATGATAGGTGTGAGATGGACAATTGTCTTTATAGATATAAAGATTTTTTTCTTTCACTAAGCTAACTAAAATTTGACTGGACCCCAGCCCTCACAAGTACATATTGATAAGCATAATTATCTATGCAAATTCAAATTGGAAAATGATTGAATTTGATGTTTCGTTGGACCATGTACACAGAAAATTTAAGTCGAAATTAAGCTCACATAACTCCAAAGTTCTGGGCGATAATGCTAAGTTCTTGACCATCTCAAGTTGCTCTTCAGGATCATCTGACTCAGTGGATTTTTACTGTCTTCAATCGACAAGAATTTCTATGTGAGATTTCTCAAATTTTCGTTCGTTTGCACCTGCATAAACCGCATAGAAAAAAAAAAACCTTCTTTCTTTGCCTGGTTAAAGAAAAAGAGAAAATACAAAACATATAGATAGCCAAAAATTGAATAAAAATAAAATATCTAAAGTATAAATCTTATATGAAGAAAGAATCTCCAAATAAAAACTTTATCTTTAAGAGAGAAAAACTAAACTTAAACAAGAGAGTCACTGAATTTATATGTAGTTGTATGTACGAGACCGGAAGAAGCATCCAGATTCCTTTCTAAAAATTTTGGAGGTAGGAGTTGTGTATCAACGTCAAAAGTCACATCTGAGCTATGGTTTGGATCTGCTGTCAGTCTTCTGTGAAGAATCACAGTCTTCTGTGAAGAATCATCTGATGATCTACTTGTTTTCTGTCTTATGTCTTGTAGTGATTTAAGAGGATGTTTAATTCCCTCTTTTTATAGTTCGAAAGTTTAAATTTCAGTGAAGCAAATGTTTGAAGGCGTTTGGTGGTGATGAATGGTGATATTGAAGGCGTTTGAATGAAGATTGACTTTTCTTTTTGGTACTTTTCAAGTACTTGGTGCAGAAATCGCCTTATGACTAACCTGTGTTGACACCTTAAATGAAAGATAAAAAAATTTCTAGACTTAAGATTGAAGATTGCATCACCTTAGAAACACATAGTTTGGGCTTTGTACTGGCCTATCCAGCAATGTGTTCAAGATCATGGAAAACAGGTGTTGCTAGTTTAAACTTTAATGCCATATAAAATCTGTACTTGCTTTGCTTAAGGTCTTGGTCTTCAAAGAGAGAAGTTAGTCTTCGAGAAATTTTTTCTTCAGGTTTTGGTGAAGGAAGTTGCATCTTCTTCCTTCTTGGAGCTTGTGCAACGTTTATAGAGAGTTAAAACGTTGGATCCTTCTTCTTTCTTGTGTATACTGTATACATGTCATTTGAATGTTTTGAAAAAATTGAAATAGATGGTTCATAGATTTAACTTGACTTGGATGACGTCTTATCTTGTCTCTCCATTTTGATGCAACAGTAGCATACCACAGTTATGAAAGTTATTTTGTGGTCTTAAATACATGGAAAAGTCCTTGAGGAGGTTGGGAACACTTAAGACTTGATGGGAGTTTAAGGAGGAACGGTTTAGGTGAAGACTTGAAATGGCTGCGCCATGGAGTTGATGCGGCGTGACTGATGGCTGTCGTGCCATTGTGTTTTTTTTTATTGGCACGGCCAGGCTCTTTCTGGCTGCGCCATGCTTCTTCTGTTGCATGGCAATCTTTCACGAATCCCCCTTTTTCATATTTTTTTGTTTTGGGGGTTTATAGAAGTGTTGTACAGTAAGAGAAAACGAAAACCAAATATTTAAAAGTTAGAAATCTAAAGAAAGAGGTGAGAAAAAGAGTACCTAAATGGGTTGCCTCCCATTGAGCATTTTTCTTTAAAGTTTTTTGAGCTAGACTTTGGTAGATGTTTTAAATTTTAATAACACCAACGTGCCGTGCCTCCTTTAGCTTCTCAACACTCCACACTTGTGAAACAGGTGTTTTTTCCTAGAACAAATGTCATTAGCCTCTAATCAGTTGTAGAATCGGGATGAGATATCAATCACTTATGGATGAGTTGAGATGCAGCCAATGCAATAAGCTAAGAAAGATTGGGATTTTATGGTGCAAGAGCAAGTCTAACAACCTAACAATGCAAGAAATCAAAAGCAAGAAGAGTAATTAAGAAAGTAAACTAAGCAGAATGAGTGACTAAAACAATACTAAGCAAGATGAATACTGAAAATAAGCAAGTAAATACAACTAAGCAAAAGCGATTTTAGACAAATGATAAAAAGGAAGATCCAAGGTCCTAAGAAATAATGGTTAAGTGGTTTCAAGAGTGACTAAGGAGATTTCTAACAAATGCAATCAATAAGCACATATAAAGCAAACATCTTTCAATATTGCAATCCTAAACAAGGTGTTTAAGGAAAGATCCACTTAGTGGTTAATAAGCAAATCCAATTCAACAAGACTAGAGTGTCAAACCCACTTTTGGTGGTGTATTCTATAACCATGAGCATAAAGCATAGAACCATAAAGCCTAAAAGAAGTACTAATCAAGTAAACTTCTCTCACTCAAACACGAATTCAGGTCAACCTATCAATCTTTTGGATTCTCTAAGGACCTATGCA